ACATTTGTCATGAAACTATAAGAAATAAATATGTCTTAACTATAAGGAGTCGAGAAAAAATAAAAAAAAATAGATTAGCCACTGTGTCAATAAATAAAAATGAATATAATAAAAAAATCATAGAAAAAAATTTCTTTTTTAAAAGCGATCAGTAGTTTAAAGTAAACGAAGAGCTAATAATTGTTATTTTGAAAGATCAAGTCACAATAAATAATAAAGATATATCCTGTTAACGAACTATGGCAAAAGATGGACAGAACATTGTTTATATGTTTATATTGTTGATATGCAGAAAGATATGAGTGATATAGACATTTAATGTAAATTAAAACTATTTTTTGTTCTACATAATTATTTTCAAAAAAGTAATTTTTTAGATCTGTATCTGGTCCAATTTTTAGATATTTCAGTAAAACTGTCCTTTTCGTATCTTTTAACAATCAGACTAATTACAAAATCAATACGTAATTTTCGAATTTAAATAAAAAAAATCGATCTTTCCTTTCGCATTATCTATATATTCATATTGTTTTATTTATATCTCAATCGTTTATGTATATGTGCAAATCATTGTTTCATTAAATCGTATCGAGGAGTTTCAACATGGGTCTGCATCTACATGTTTGTAAGTACACTCACAATCGTTTCCGTCATCTCGCGGTCGTTCTTATCAAGAAAACACACCGAGGAATTCCCCATAAAGTCTCTCTAATTTTTTTGCGACATCGCGTTAGACTATCTAACCGCAAAACCGCGAACAATTTTAAGGACAATGCGTACGGAAGATATTTGCATCATCGCAAACGTTTTGCAATCACTTGCGGTTAAAATGCATGTCGAGTATTATTGTTGCGATAAAAACCGCAGAATGCGCCAACCGATTAGAGATGCTTAGTATTAATTATCGAAAGTAGAATACAATATAAATAACGATCTTCCGCAATAATTAAATATGTGTACTATCAAAAACTTGATACGGCTGACGTTTTCTAATTGAAAATCAATAAGACGTCATCCCGAACGAGAAATACTCAAGATCTTACTTTACTCGCCACCCACCGCGGGCTCAATGATCCGCCGAAAATGGGGAGCACATTGCAATTAATAATATCGGTAATTGGTGTATGCGTGCCGCGTGCCGCTGAACTTCAAAGGTCATCGCCTGGCAGCGCGAGTTTAATTAACGCAATCAAATGAAAATATTCATGCACGCCGGCGCTGGGTTTCGGTGTGCGTGCACGTCCGTGTGTCGGCGTGAGCCGCCAGCTCATTATGCAAAAGTTTTGTGCGTTTCCCGCAATTTCAATATTCGTTCAATTCCCGAAAGGCTTGCAACGGTAAATCGTGGCATTGACACAGATCGCGCGCTTCGAAATCGGATATAACTCGACTTTTCGGTCGGAACATTTTAAACTCGTCGCCCGAGTCCGACGCGTACAACATGCGCCGCTGTAATTAAAATAGTATTTTGATAGGGCGCATAATGAATGTAATATGTTTCATTATTGTATATTTAATTCTTCGATGTCTCATGCAGTTAAATGGGATTACAGCGTGTTTGTAGAAGCCAAAGGTATACAAACAATATACGCATGTTTATAAGCGTGCCGCGAATGCTTTCTCATTTAATGAATATGAAGGATATAAAAATTATTACTGCACGATTGTCCTTGTGTGCGATATCGCAAAGGTATCTCTCCTTGTGTATCATGAGATTTCCCGTGTATTTCTTTTGGTCAATATGTTGTATTATAGTTACTCGCGAGAACTAAAAATATTCGGATAAACCGCGCTATAACTTCCTGTGTTCCGGCATTTTGAAATAATTGTTACGTAAAGAAAGTAGTCATACACTCAAGTAGTCGTACACTCATTTGTCACAGATTACAGCGCATATTACGTTTTTTCCAACGTAAAAAGAGGCTAACTCGGCGAAGCTTCTTGCGTTTGTTTCCCTGTATTCTCCGCATAATCACGCGTGATTGTATACGCGTTATCTCGCGATACTCGACCTAATATTAGACATTAGCGCACATCCCGGAAATCGTGCAGCTTTCTGTCGCTAGCTCAGCAGCAATTGGTGTCCTTCGTCACCCCCTATACAATTGTCTCGAGAATACAAGTGGAGGCTCGCACGGTAATTGCGGATCGACATGTCGCGCGTTAACGCGTCAACGCTCGTGTCATATCTCTGCGATTACATTTGACGATAAAAATGCGAGCTTTAAGATATGGGAACAGGCCCTTTGTTACGCGTGACCTTCGCCGATATCGATACGATAGATACTTAAATCGCTCGCGTACACAGCCGTGCTTGTGCTTACGGATGATCGAGTAACGTGAAAAAAGTCGCTTCGCATCGTTACTTTCTCACGCCCGATCACTAGAAAAGCAGAAAGTGGCATAATCTATTTTTACATCTCGCAGAAAAGTTATCATCATTTCGTCGGCGTGTCCCTGAGTTATACTGATGTCATCGACGACGTCCATAATGGAACTATCGGTGACGAACGGCAAAGTTTAAAAGTCGGCGACGCTTAGAATCGTCTTTACCATTGAAATCAATGCACGCAACATTGTTAGAAGTCTATAAGAAAATTAGTAAATTCGAGCGTTTCGATTATTTTCCCCGATATGCTTCCAGCAGAATCCATAGTTCATCGCCGCGACACAATAAGCCGCGACACAGTCGAGACGTCGATCGAGATTTGCAGCGCTTAAAATTAAAATCCTGACAAATCACATATCCGTATTGGACATTCATTAGCGAAGAAGTTAAGTAAGAGAAAAAAAAAAATTGATCATCTACATTCCGACGATCTACACTCCTTTCAATTTTCAAATTGCTCTTCATCTGAGCTCATCTTTGCGAATTAGAGTCTCATTTGTCTCGATATTCGATCGAACGAGGCGCGCGATCGTGAGCGATCGTGAGCGATTTACGAGCGGGAGATGAGGCATCCAATTGTGTCGTTACGTCGACGCTTGTCGCGGCTCTTTGTACCGCAGGAACGCCTTACGTGCCCGTGCGAGTATCCGCCGTAATGCAAATCGGTGCACGCGCGAGCTCGCTCGCGTACACGCACCCGCGTATTGACACTTGTGCGGTGCAGCGGCGTGTAATGCGCCGACATAAACGCGCACGGTTCGTTGCCGCGACCCGTGGCGTGTGTATATATATATATATATACGCGCGCGTGTGCGTGCGCGTGAAATCGACCACGTGCGCTCGCTATCGTCGTTATCGTCTCCGGCTGTGGCGCGCGGGGGCGAGCGCGGAGCGTGGGGAGTTCCCCTTGCTGCGGGGAGGAGTCGGTCGGTCGAAATACGTGGACGCATACTAATTAAAAGCCGCATTCGGTCGAGCACGCCGCTCGGGAAGATCTGCTAATTACATCTCGAAGTCTTTTGCGCGGGTGCCCTCGTGGATCCGCGAGTGAATGAAGCGCGAATCTCGCGCCTGCTTTCTTTTCGGTCCTTTGAAAGGGCCTTCTAGGTTCCTCTCACGCGCGCTGCTGCCTTGAATTAACGCACTTGGGTACACCTTCGATCCCACGTGGCATTATACACGGGAGATATACAGCCTCGCGAAGTTGCCCACCCGCTTCCGCCCCTTGACTTGAATGCGATTGTATTATCCTCGATATCGTGCTCAAAGCATAATAATTGTCATTGTGTCGTGGTGGAAGAAAAGGAAAAGAAAGATCTGGGCGTCGTTCATTAAGGAATACGTATGTCCGGATTTCTGATGCTCCGTTTCTTCTGTCTAGATTGACGAATGACGCCGTAGCAGAGGGCTGGTTGGTGCGCGGATACCGGGACGCAAGAGGTAAGTTTAATGTTATACAGAGAGATGAAAATTAATCGCACATTGAAATCGATCGATCGAATTTCGGAATTCTATCGCGATCAATTCAATTTTATGGAACACGTAAGTCATCAGTATTAATTAACGATGATATGAATACTGATTACTAGCATGTTTAATGTTGTTCATGACTTTGAGAACAATTCATTGGCCATAATTTGCAATCGAAAATATGCATAAATATCACGGACGGTTATCCTAATGTTGTATCGTAATATTAATTATAAACATTTCTAATAGCGCCTTTCCGTAGTTTAATCCAATAAAAATATTATTTTATAATTATAATTTATTTCTACATTATTTAGTAATGAGTGTACTGTAAGATAGGATAATCGTTTACTGATAATGAGAATGTCACAAGTTATTATTTATCATTAGTTTTATTTAGCCTGTTTTATTAATAAATCTGTTTATAAATATGTAATACTTGAGAGAACTATACTTTTTAAATATGTTAAATATCATTATTTTACATGCTATTTGATTTACGTAATTTACGATAAAAACAGGCAAAGAAAGTTATTGATATTCGCATTAAAGAAAAATCGTTAACGAATACAGTAAAAATTTAATGCGTTTTTTTTATAACAACCATTTATTTTCTATCTGCTTTTTTTCTTATACATTATTTTATAACTACGGGAAAACTTTTGCACAGAATTTATTTCGCTACAGCATACGCAGGATTACCTCTTCATGATTCTATTATTTTATAGTTTTGAATTTATTTTTGTAGTAATCTATATGTGTGTGTGTGTGTGTGTGTGTGTGTGTGTGTGTGTGTGTGTGTGTGTGTGTGTGTGTGTGTGTGTGTGTGTGTGTGTGTACATATATTTCGCGAAATAATTCAAAAAATTTTTGATATATTTGTATACATTCTATATATATTTACACATACGTACATATACTTGTGCGCACGTGTATGTATTCATTACTCTTTCTAATCTACAAAATTCATATAATTAAAAATTACGTTGTGAATATTTTAAATTTTTCCATGATCAACGTACATGTATAATGCAAGAAGGACGATATATAATATATAATATAATGCATTCAATACGATAACAGCACGAAATATTAGATAATGTTTGTAATGATCGGATAGTAGGTCCGTACAAAAATCACGAATCACTGCCGATTCCTCTTTCCCCTCGAGGGAGTTCTCATCTTCTTCGGAGATTATGCATGCGAAAAGTCGAGATCTTTCCATAATGCGGTCGATGCTTAGAATTTAAAATGCATTTTATATTGTTACGCTCACTCTGCATTCTCTTCTTTTTTTTTTCAATTTCCTCTCATTTCTTCTCCTCCATCTCGGCGTATCTGCCCTCCTTCTCCAGTTCTCAACGCGCGGTTCTGTCTCACTTCATTTTCCAAGACCACGGCTCTTCTGTCCGCTCGTTCAACAAACGGCATATGTGTCTTTATGAACGGTATGTGGAGTAGACAAGTGCATTAAAACCTCGGGCGTTAGTTCAAGAGGGAGGAGGATGACTGGGTAGCAGCAGGGCGGATGGAGGGCTCAGGAGGATACACAAAAGAATGCAAAGTAAGAACCACGACCTCTACAAATCCCTCTCCTCCCCCCCCTCCCCTCTGACAATCCCCTTCGTATTCTCTTCTAGCCGCACCTTTCCCTCTCCGGCCTCCACCCTCATCGCTTACCTGTACAACCGCATTTCATGCATTCCTCCTCCTCTTCCTTTACCGTATCATTCCTCCTGTGTGCCGGAGGTTACAACGCATTATCATACAAGGCGACAGCGCGCCTCATCTTTCCTTAATTGTTCTCGGTCTCGCTATGTCGCAGAAAGGGTAACCACCCCACAGCGGAGTGCATTCTTGCCACGATCAACTCATTGAAGTGCGAGAACGACGCCGCGGAGTGTTATCTCTTTTTGCGCGCGCGAATCGAAAGCACGAGCCAGGGGATGAGACAGAAAGCGCGACAATTTACGAGTGGTCACTGGGGTGGTAGAGCTCCGAATTCCTCCCTCCCATTCGCAGCGAGATCCTTCGTGTTCTGTAATGTTCGACATCAAAGGCCGGGGACATTTCGCGCGTCGATGACTGCGAGAAGTTGCGCGGATACGAAATCGGGGATGGGACAGACTCGCGCTCTTATTGGTGTCTACGGGCGGAAGATCTCTGCGTTTTTTTTTGTGGCTCGATGAATTCGGAGCCGCAGACATCACTGGTATCGGCGACAAGCGGTGCCCTTTGTTTTTGGACACGCACGATTTCGCGATGTTACATCGCGTTTTTAACGGCGACGCCCTGAGATCTGGAAACGGTATTAAAAAAAAAAAAACGATCGATTTCAATTGTGAGTTGTATATGTGGAAATATTTTAACCATTGTAGATAAGCTTGTGTCGAAACAATCTATTTAATAATGATATTTTCTACTCGCTTTTAAATACTTTATTACGAAATTATTACGAGATGTGACGCGTGATGCTTATTTAATTGCGATAAAGCGGCTGCGTTCTATACCGATTTAGAGAAATTTCAGATTAGTCGCAAGTAAAGTTTGTCGTAATGAAGGGATAACGGCCCTTTGAACTTCGCGGACGGTTTCGACATCTGTCTAAGATGAGGCGGTTCACCCTCGATTAACCTCGATAAGCGTAACATTTCTCAAACTCTCGTTAAGGATCTGTTTGCCGGATATGCGTAATCTATTGTTGAAAATTCAATAATCGCGGTTAATTCTTGTCTAAATTATTCGTGAGCTTGCGATAATTCGAGAAATTAAAATATTCAACATCTCGACAGTTAAATAGTGAGTATTAGTTGTTGAATAAACTTTGGATAATTCTTTATATGTCTATTGCATAAGACTGAATATGAATTTTTAATAATAGATAGCATTATTCGGTAGGATTAGATTTTAGGTAAAAATCTTAAATTTTAGATCTTATAATTTTTTATTTTTCTTAATTGAATTTATGTATATAAATTCGGAAATTGTTTCTACCGCGAATTACGTGCCGTACGTTATTATTAAGACTTTCGACGCGGCCTAAAGCTATTTCTAGCCAAATTTCTAGACAAATTTCTAAATTGGCAAGATCTACAACGAAAGATGTTACACGATCGACCGCTTACGCGTGTCACGTGGTATGTAATGCCGCATCGAGCTGTTGTATAGCACTAATTGTGTGCATTCCGACTAATCGCCCCTGATTTTACGCGCCACCAAACAGCAGCCCCTCGTCAAAGCGACTGCGAGTATATACACCGGTATCGGGAATTGGCAATACATTTTATCAAAACTGATCGCGAAAGATTATTCAGGGAGATTTAATCTCTCGTAACGATACGAGACACGCGCGTCATGATGATGAGAAGAAAAAGCAGCTTTCCGGCTGCTTCTCGATGCGCGCGATACGCCGAAATGTTGCGGTGAATGGTAGATGGGACATTTACGTCATATCCCACATAAGTGGACGCATAAGTACACCTAAGTGTACGAAGGCTCCTATCAGAGTGATCGCTTCGTTGTCGGGAAGAGAGAGACGGGGATGAGAGGGGCGTGCATGTGCACATTAAATAGCCGTCGAGTATGGAGAATGGCAATGGTACAACGGCTTGTTCCTCCGGAACGAATGTTTCCACGTCGTTTTGTAAGCGTCGCGACGAACGGGGCCGGATCTTCGGTGACTGGGTCCCCGCAACGCGATCGGGCCCCAGACGATTATCCATCTCGTCCAATGGCGAAGATACAAAGAATCAGGTAGCAATTATCGGCAGCGCGGTCTCCGCACGCGATTCGTCCGATAAATATACAGTCAAGGGAACGGAGCGTACTTCTTTCGAGGCGAGGCGTACCTATTTGGCTTAGGCAAATGTCCCGCCATTGCGTATTCGATTAAATAAAGCAGTCGTATAATTGCGATATAATGACAATAAGCGATGGCATATTCGCGATCTTGTGCGTGACGCGAAATATCAGGCTCGCCTGTAATTTTGCCTCGCGATTATCGAATGACACATATTCCGCATAAAAAATAATTGCGACAAGAATAGCGTCCTCGCGCATTTGCATTTGCGTTGCAATATGTGACAAGAGCAAAGCGTGGGGAAGGCTCTTCTTCTATCATTCTTGCTTATCGCGCCGTTGCATTCTACCGATCGGCGTCCTCGGCATGATCAAGATTCAAGGAAAAAAAAAAAAAAATAATAAAGAATTATGTCGGAATCGTGTCGCAAAATCCGCACGCGATCGGGACGACGGGCGGCATTAATAAAATACCTTTGATGGAACTAATAGCAGCTCGAAGATTACGTTCACGGCCGGCACGCTCGTTTCGCGTAGGTATTTGAGCGCGTGATGGGCGGAAGGCGATGGTGAATTCTATGCGAAGGAGGGCGTGCGAGCGTATTACGTTTATGCGGCCATACATTCGCACGCGAATACAAGCATATGGGTGATTACGCGATGCTTGTGTGCATAGCGCGAGCTTATGAATCACTAGATATATCAGGATGACTAGATTCCGATCGGTTCTTGATTCGCTACTTTTAAACGTCTTATATTTGTTCTGTTATATTTACAATACGTAGCAAACTTTCGCGAGAAAAAAATCCACAAATTATTTTCAACAAATTTAGGATTAACGGAACGTGCGCTTTTTAAGAATTATTTTTTCGCAGTGAAATATTTCTCATAAATATTTCTGTATGTTTAAATTGTTCAAAGATGTCGGATAAAGAACATATCCAATCGGTCCATGTAGGAGTATTAAAAAATACCGGGAAGAATAATGCCGTAGAGAATGTGACGGTTCTTGCGAGATATCACCGTATCGCCGGGCAATATTTCCGGTTCCTGTGCCAAGAAGCGTGTTCTCGAAGATAATTCGTTATCGCGTCGCACGCCGGGCTTTCCATCCTTTCCGCGAGCGAAAGAGAGAAGACGGCGACGGCGTCGCATTGATGTCGAACGGCCTG